AACTACAGTGAAATCATCATTAGTATAGAACATGAATATCATCTGGCTTCCGCTGGCACGAACACAACTGTAAACATAACAGTAAACGCTATATGAAAAGTCCTAAACTCACACAGCAGTTCTGCTATAAGTTAGTCTTTAAAATGATATGGAAAAATACCCGTATACAACTTCAACGGAATCAGCAAAATGTATACTAAAATTAAAATAACAACAACAAAAACCTTCCAGTCTTCTAAGAGCATATCTATGGACCTTAAAGAAATGGAAAGAGAAACCACTCAATGAGGATCATGAAGGACATGGGCTTAAGCTAAGTGACAAAGAAGGAAGATTTAATGAATAAAAGCAAAACTTTATGATAAAGAGAGGTCATCGCAGACACAGAGAATCTGTCCAATATGAAGAGTATATATGGGGAAGTAGTGGGAAGTAACATTGTAGTGAGGGAATCAACAGGTATAATTAACATTGCATATGGTTGGAAACAGGAAGCCATTAAAGATTTTAGATAAAAATACCATTGGAAAATAAACTTCTGGAAAGTATAGACTTTAGGAAAGAGCAAAAAGAGCTTGATCTCAATAAAAACTAGTTTAATAAATTATTGGACTATTTTGTTCCAACTCAATTAATGTGGCGGAAATTACAAAGAACAACAATGAAAAGATGTCCCCCGCTCCAAAAGCCAAATACCTTGGAAAACTCATTTGGAGAGACATAAAGATGACTTTACTCTCAAATAATTTTTATTCAAGTTTATTTATTTATTTTGAGAGAGAGAGGGAAAGACAGAATCCCAAGCAGGCTTTGTTTGCACTGTGAGCACAGAGCCCAGTGCAGGGCTCGAACTCACAAACTGTGAGATTGTGACCTGAGCTGAAACCAAGAATCAGATGCTTAACCAAATGAGCCACTCAGGTGCCTTGTCCTCTCAAAAAAACTTTAGTAAAATTTTGGACAGAAAGTCCATGGGATCTTAGGGTTTTTGCAGTATGGTATAACAATAATACATGATATAACAATAATACATGAGTATAATTAGACCACAGCAAGTTATAAAAATTCTTACTATTTGTTAATGTCAAATAGAGTAATTCTTTTTATCATTATTTACCAAATAGAGTAATTCTTCTTATCATCATTTAACAATAACCACACCTTAGATTCCTGTTTTACACAAGTGCCAGCTAACCAAACACCTCAAAGATAAATGCATGAGAGCTACCTTAATTTATGTTTTCACAATGGAGCCAATGAATACTCATTTCATTCATCTGTATTTTTAAAAAAAAGTTTATTTACTTATTTTGAGAGATACAGGGAGAGCACAAATGGGGGACGGGCAAAGGGAGAATCCCAAGCAGGCTCCACACCGTCAGCGCAAAGCCTGATACGGGGATCAAACTCATGAGCTGTGAGATCATGACCTGACCCAAAGTTGGACACTTAACCAACTCAGCCACCCAGGTGTCCCTATATACTCATTTTATTTTAGTTTTTTGAATACTCATTTTAAATAAAATAGTTTGTGGTAAGCCTAGCCAGTAAACATAATTTTTAAGAAAGAGATTTTGAAGGATAAAGAATAAAACCAACACATATTTTTCCTTAAAAAGTTCTGAAAGTTCTTGAGAATTTGTATTACAACTTCACTTGATTTATTATTAATCATGAAAAGAGTAGGTAATTTTCAAAGTAAAATTTTTCTGTTCATGACTTTCTTCTTTAAAAATTAGCACTTTTGAATATAAGATCATACTGGCTTTCTGTCAGAATATAAGATCATTCTGGATTTCTCTCAGAAATGATATGTGCCTTAGGGGTGCTCGGGGTGACTCAGTCAGTTGAATGTCCGACTTCGGATCAGGTCATGATCTCATGGTTTGTGGGTTTGAGCCCAGTGTCAGGCTCTGTGCTGACAGCTTGGAGCCTAAAGTCTGCTTTGGATTCTGTGTCTCCCTCTCTCTGCCACTCTGTGACTCATGCTCTGTTTCTCTCACTCTCAAAAATAAGTAAACGTTAAAAAAAATTGGAAATGACATGCTGCCTTAGACTTCTATTACCAAGAAAGATGAGAATTTCTGTACTATCTGAGAAGTACAATCTAAAGTCACATTAAAAAAAAAAAAAGCTGCCTGACCTATCGGGCATGAAATCATATTCCTAAAAAAATTATCAATCAATCACAAAAATTAAAAATTTGTCATTTTTACATGGATGGACCTACAGAGGCATTATGCTAAGTGAAAAAAGTCACATAAAGACAAATACCATATGACTGTACTTGTATGTGGAATTTAAAAAACAAAACAAGTGAACAAATAAATGAACAAATGAAGCAGAAATAGACCCATAAATACAGAGAACAACTGGTAGCTGCCAGAGTGGGTGGGGGGATGGGAGGATGGGTAAAAAATGGTGAAGGGGAGAAGGAGATACAGGCTTCCAGTTATGGAATGAGTAAGTCATGGAGATGAAAGGTACAGCATCAGGAATATAATCAATGATACAGTAAAAGCACAGTATGGTGGTCAGCAGAGCATTTTGGATAGAGCTGTTGAGTCACCATGTTGTACACCTGAAACTAATGTAACATTGTGGGTCAACTACACTTCAATAAAAAAAAATCTCATCACTTTTTACCACACAGAGTCTCAGTCATGAGAATTTTCCTCTTTCACATGGTAGCAAAAGTTATTAACACATTTACTCTTAATTACTCAGGCTAGACACCTTAACATATGAGTAGTGCCAAAAGCTAAATAATTATAACCTAAGTACTACATGTTAAGCCTATTGTATAAAATTGGCTCCATTCACTTGCATATAACCAGCCAAAGGCTTTATAATTTGCAATAGCTCTATTATGAAACCATTTTCTCTCACACATTACTAATTAAATACAGTCTGCTTTTTAGGGGGCAGGAGACTAAAAATAGATACAGTGCTTCACTTAGGGAAAGAAAAACCAAGTCACAAATTGTTAAACTGAATTACATCTAGGTCTTGATTGTGATCCACCTCTGGATTATGAAATCCAGACTAAATTATCTAAATTCTTGTCTAAAAGAAAGATAACCCTTACACTATAACATTTAGATTAAAGTCTTTCTTTAGTTTACATATCATTAGGACACAGTAGCTCTGCTAGCTAGTAAGCTTTGGATGACCTTTGAAATGGTTAACTGCTGTTCGTCAAGGCCCAGAAAGAAGTTTAAGAAGATCCAAAATAATAAGAAATAACTATTCATGGACTATTTGAACGTGTTTACTTTTAAAGACATCAAATGAATCCATTGTCCTTTTGTCATTAGAACATCTCTTAGTGAATACTAAGGGTAAATGGGATTTTCAAAGATTTTTAGACTAGAATATTTTCTTTGGGAATATTACACTAAGGTTATAATACAATTTAACAGAAACACGTATTCTATATAAAATTATCAGCTCCATTGTTTAGTTTTCAGAAACAATTTAATATGTAAAAGACAAAAGCCATGAAGGTTATTTATTGATTTTAAGTTGATCTTTTCCCAGTATTTTCCAGTATACTAAATATAATTTAGCATATATGTCTACGGTTTTCAGGGACTCTATTCATAGATTCTCATTTATGAGAATTTCTAGAACCTATTTCTAGGGACTAAGCTTATTTATGTTCCACTTCACACGATACACTCTGAGCTTAAAAGGCTAGCTAACAATGTACCCCACAGGCATATACCCTTATAGACTATGAAAAGAAGACAGCAAACCTAATCACCAGAAGATACAGACAGAAGAGATGGAAGTTTCTAGGGAGCAGGACTGGGAGACAGGATAAGGTGGGGCTACCATACCAGTTAATACAAATACTACTTACTGAGTAGTAAGTGAATTGATATAATTATTGGCATTGGAGTTTTTAAAGTGCTGTGTATTATATCACAGGAGTACAGATACTGTACTGATATAAAACTAGATTTGGTAAGTAAATCTCTAAATCCACACCAGTTGCTGAACATTCACTGCATGTAAAACACCATGCCAGAGGAGTCAGGGAAGGCCCAAGCATAAATTAGGATGTTACATTAGATTGTTTTTTAATTTCTTTCTAGAAATTATCTGTTCTAAAATTACAGATAATTCTTATCTATATTCACTCATCTTTGAAAGTTTGTATCTAAAGAACAGAGATAAAAATCAATAGAAAAATATACCATTTGTGCCTATACTCTTATCACTGAAAACAGAAAGACTGCCCACTTTTCCAAGTCTTCTTTGATCATTATCATGCAAATAGAATTTTGATTAAATTGAGAAAAATATACAAACAAAAATATACAAACATTACCAGCTATTATTACTTTAGAACTACAGCATGCACAACCCGTACACTATCTCGATATCCTGCCTCTTGCAAACTGAACAAAACAATGCATTTCTACAGGAACTCTGAGCCAGACAGCAAGACCTGGGGGTGGGGGGTGGTGGGGAGTGGATTCATTTTACTTTTTTTTTTTTTTAACCCTTTTGGTGTCAAAATTAAAAGCTGTAACATGTTATGACATTTGCATTACTTTGTTGGGGGGTATCATTTGCAAAACTACATTCTTTTATTTTATATGCTTTTATTTTTCAGTTAGAAAACCTGTTGCTTAATATGCAAATTTCAAACTGGGGGAGGGAGGGAGGAAATGAAGCTTAACAAACACAACAAAATAAAGTTGCTTTGCTATGTTGAGGCTGCCAGGCTTTTTGTTACTCTACTTGAAAGTAAATGTGACTTGTCTGTAGAGAGTGCTGCTTCAGCAGTTCCAAATGAATTTCAAGCCTGTGCTCCATATTTTCTCTTTTGTAAGTTTAATGTATTCAGCAATACTGAACTGACAATTTAAATAACTACATTTTTAAACAAACGAAGCATTGATGTTAATGTATGAAAATGGTCCAAACCCCTGGGAGTCTTGGTTCCCACCATTGTTTATTCTGACAACAGGATATAATTGCTTACTTACTTGGCAGCAAATTTAACCATCTGCTTGCTTGCATGGTCTCCCACTGCTACGAGCGCCTGGACGTTAAACTGCTGCTGACGTAGGACTAAGAAAGACTGCTTCCCTGAATAAGACAGAAAGAACATGAGTGTATTAAGGACATGCTACTTCAGGTTTTACAAAGAAGAAAAATGTTTCTCTACTTAAAAATTGAGCCAAAATCTACCCTACTCATTAGTTATGAACACACATATCCGGCTTCCACTGCCAAAATACCCATTCTGTTGACAAGCTTTAAAGAAACCCAAGTTCCCACTAGAGTAACAAAAATGTTTTTAACATGCTATGAGGACATAGGTGAATCACTAATTTCAAAAAAAAAAATCATAAATCAGAAAATTACTTTATCATGGCATTATTAAACAAATTTGAAGTAACTTCAGATAACTCAACATTCATACAATGAGTGTGTGTATTCTACAGGCAAAGGCACTCTGCTAACCTCTACAGGTTCTTCAACCGTGCAGACACAGAAGTGCTAATCAAGGGCTTAGTAAAGAGAATGCAAGCATTCTGTGGGGGTGGTCCATTTTACTTCCTACCAAGCATTTAGTAGGACAGGCTAGTTTCTTCCATGTCTTATTTTCCTGTATCATCTTCCTCATTCTTCATCCTTTATAAATAGTTCCACATTTTCTTCACAGCAAATAACTTACTTTGTCTATAAAAGATCGTTCTCTTTATGCTCTATAACCAGTTTAATCCAGTTTAATTTTTACCTATTCTGGGCCTTGTGATTCCCTCTCCTTTCATAAGGAACAGCCACTCCTTATTCTTAACTTTTTGAAAAACATTGTTCATTAATAGATTCAACAACTATCCTTGTGACCTCTCTTTTCTCCAAAGCAGAATCTTCAAGACTCTGATCAAGTTTTGGGAAATTACTTCCTCATAAAACAAGTCTTGTTTTCAAGACCACTTTTCTCATCATGATATTTTATAAAACATAAAAATATTTCAGTTTTTAAACTAAGAATGATTCTTGCCAAAAAAAAACAACAAAAAAACACAGGCTTATAGTTATTACTTTCAATATTCAACATACTATATTTTGAAATGCAAATCAGACAGCAATCATGCGTCTAAAAAGAAAAAAGAAAAAGAACCAGACAGGTTGCAAACAACGTGCAAACATAGACACAATCTATAGGCTTCTGAGTAATATACGACTGACATGTTTTTAACCACTAAATAGGCCCTCATTTTCCCTTTCGTTTGGAGTATGATCCAGTCATGAAGTAAAATCTTAAAAAGAAAGTAACACATACTAAACACAGTCAAGAGTACTTTAAGATACTGAATGGATAAAGACTGTTATCATAGAGAAATCTGCAGATGGACCTAAATGGCATTATCCTAGGAACTACAGAAACCACAGGTTTGTGAAACTCTGAGCAGAGTATTAGTGTGAAATGGAAGGGAATGTGATTTAAAAAGTATTTTAGCTGCTCTAATAATGCAGACAGGCAGCACAGTCCTAGCTGTACCATAAAGCCACGCTGCAAAGAACTCCAAGGTGACACAAGACCTTGAGAGAGAATAGAACTCTACAGGACTTAACAAAGTTAGCACATGAAAATGTCTCTGGGTCAGCACTAGGTGGTAACACTTAATATAAGGGCTGATAAAGAGTAAAAGCTTGGAAATCAAAAGACCTAGGATGGTATCCTATCACTTCCTATGAAGGGGCCTGTAGGAAAATTATTAAACTGCTTTATGCCTCAGTTCTTCATCTGCAAAATGGAGAAAATAATAATACATTACTCATGGTTTTCTCAAGCTTTCTCCTATAATACTGAGGACTACATAAGTAATATGTTTAAAGTTGTGACATACCCATTTAATGTTAAGAATGAATAAATGTTATTACTTAATGTTAATTATTATTACAGTTCCACAGCCACTGGCTCCTTATTTGAGGATTGATTACCATTTCCTATTTTGTATCTGGATTATAATGTGTAACAATCATGCCAGGCACTGGGAACACAAAATAATTATTTGACAGATAATCACGATAGACTACCATGTAAAGAAAGTGATAAAAACATATAAAGTATAATCCCAATTTTGTTTGTCTAAGAAGTATATTAAAATTGACTGTGTAGGGAAAAAACCACCAAAATGTGAAACTGATTGTATAGGAAAAAAACAGACTGTGGCTACTAACAGATATGAAACTGTAGGAAATTATGCTATTCTTTATATGTTTTTTTCCTGAACTTTTTACAATAAGCATGTACTACTTTTCTAATGAGAAAAAATACTTCTTAAGAGAACAAATACAGAGAGGTAGATATAGAAGAAAGGTAAGGGATGAAAGGAAATCTTTAATACAAATACTACGCAGAACCTGGGGAGTTCTAACAAGCTAAGTATAGAAGGAAATGCACTCCCTGAGATTTGACATGACTGCTAAGGAAAACAAATCAAGAAATGAATGGTTATGAGCGAAGATTATTTACAGTCTTCTTTTAATGTTTAATATGTTTACTGTATGTAATTCTAAAAATTACACCTCTTATTTTTCAAAAAAGGAAATGGATGGGGGATGTGAATAAGACCTGGATCATGAACATACTATATAAATCTACTAGTAAAAATGTCCCAGCACAAAAAGAGCCAGATGAAGCAGAAGAACAAACTCAAAGTACACTGTATTAAGGAAATTTTAATTTCAGACGGAATTGAGGAAATAAAATAAGTGAATAAAGACTGAGTAAAAAATGAAATTGAATATTAAACTGTACAAAGGAGGAGGGGAAACCTAAGTTTAAAAATTACAGAATATCTATACACAGAAAATGGAAATACTGGGAAAAATTATTTACTGACTTATGACTTATATGAATTAACATCTTTAATACATAAAGATCATAAAGATTTATGAGTAAAGAACATTGAGATTCGAACAGGTAAATGGGCAATAAACTAATCATTTCTTTGTATCATTAGTAAGGAAATATGAGGAAAAAATGAAATGAAGGTAATGCAAGTGGAAGCAAAGATGACGCATAATTTACCTCTCAAATTAGGAGAGATTTAAAAATATGTAATATTATCTAATGCATGGGAGAATAAAATGAAAACCTTTCCTTCATAATTTGCTCATGGCAAGGCAAACTTGCACATCCTTTTGGAGAACCATCAAGCAGTAGGCATGAAAAGGCTTAAAAACGTCTCGGCTTCAAAAAAATGTATTTCTTTGAATATATGTTAAGGAAATTGAGTATGTAAAGACTTATAGTGACAAAGGTGTTCACAGCAGTATTATTTCTATAAAAGCACTGAAACTCTATTATCACTCACTTCATATCTATGCAGTCTCTACTAGTGGAACGATCTACATTTGACTCTAATGCTATGGTTTCCAGGTTTTCAGTGTTCAAAGCACCTTCAGATACTAGAACCTTGACTGTCCCCTCAAAAAGATTTTTAAAAGACTCAAAAAAAAAAAAAATCAGTACTGGTTTCCTGATAAGTAGACCTGTCTGCTCAGACTTCCACCAAGTACTTTTGAGACCAAGTTCCTGCAAGTTTGTAAACAAAATTGTTCCTTCTTTGGCTCTGGTTGGTGATATACTGCAGGGCATGCTTTAGGTTCCATGTTTTGCAATTCACTGTCTTACAGACACGGACAACAGGAGCAGCATGTGAACTGCCATCCCTTTTGTATAATTAAAAAATAAAAAACAAAGAATACACCTATGCTCATAAATGCACTTTTTCCCTGGAAGGACACACAAGGAAACAATAGTGGTTATTTCTGGGGGAAGAGACTATAATGAGATGGAGAAGTTAGAATGGTGAGTTCTATTTTTTTCTTTTAGTCTTTCTGCACTTTTGGAATTTTAGTTTTTACTACACCCATATATTACTTTTTATTCTAAGAAGCAAATATGTGATTTCTCACTTCAGCAAACAGTTCTATGTTATGTAAGTTAGTATTGGAACTTTATAGGGCAGGTAAACCAACTGCTAAATATTATTCATCTTTCTTCTTGGAACCCTTCAACCAGACAAGTTGATAGAAAGGAATATAAAGACTATCTTGAAACAGCTGAATGAATGCACTACTTTTAGATATATTTAGCTCTGTAACAGTTAAGAATTTGTGTTGCAATTTGACTCTTAAGTTATTAGAAGAGGCAGTTTATTTTTTAAGTTTACACAAATGTAAAGTTTGATACCCCTTATAGCACCAGGTGCATTCTTTAGTTCTAATATCATCTCTATTACAGTGATGGCTCAGTAATAAAGTATGCTTTTAAGTTAAAAATTTTTTTAATGTTTTACTTTATTTTTGAAAGAGAGAGAGAGAGAGAGACAGAGAGAGAGAGTGTGAGTGGGGGAAGGTCAGAGAGAGGGAGACAGATTTCTAAGCAGGCTCCAAGCTCCATGCTGTCAGCACAGAGCCCAAGGTGGGGCTCGAATTCACTGTGAGATCATGACCTCAGCCTAAATCAGAGGCTTAACCAACTGAGCCTCCCAATAAAGTGTGATATTGTGGGAATACTAGTTTATCCAAGATGTAAGGCAATCTTATGTTTTCATCTCTTCCTACTGTCTTTTAGCTTGCCAAGCTCCTGAACTCATTATTTAGATAATGTATCTTAACTTCCTAATCCCCAACAGTAATATTTTCCTTCATCATTTATTTTGATTACTGAATAAAACAGCAAAGACCTAAATATTTTAAAGTACTTTCCATTTGCTATTTCTGAAATATTCTTGCATGAACACAACTTGAGGTTCTAAACTACATAATTACCAAAATATACTAGCTATTTTGGAAGTACAAGCAAGTATTTAGGAAGAATAATACTGAAAGAGAATAATTCTGTGCCAACTGACTTCAATGTAGTATATTTAAAATTTGAAAGGAGCCACAGATATTTCAATTACTCTTTCAACATGCAGGCTTAAGCTCATAAGATTTTACAAATGAAAGACACAAATTTTAAGCATATCACTAAGAGTTAAAAATTTCTTCTTGCTCCTATACAAACCACTTGATTTTAGAGATGTGATACATAAACCTACCGTAAGAAATCTGATTTAACT